AAATAAAGTTGATTATTATTATTATTATTATAATGATAATTGTCATTCCTAATAGTGGTCAATGTTAAACAATATTAAATTTCTCCTTTTCAAGCCCAAGGAAGTAAATAACTCCGTGCAAACATTCTACCCCAAAGTTTTTATTTGAATGGTAGTGCCTCAGGATATTTTTTTGTTTTGGAAATTGGAGCTTATAGGGTTGATATGATACTTTTTATTTATTTACCCTTAACTTTATTTGACCGTAAACTAGTTGGATGTTTCCCCTAAATATATTTGTGTGTAAAATAAAATTGACTGAGTCTTCTTGACTTGCCCTCGAAATTCTCTTTTAGGTTTCAGAGAAAGGTTTTCGCCGCCTTACCCCTGATCAATCCGTAGGACTGAAGTACGCTGGAATGGTGATTAAACTTGATAAAATTGTTAAGGTAGGTTATTTTTTAACTTTACCATTAAGTAAAAACCCTTTTTCTCCCAAAATGACAATAATTATTTCCCAATTTTATTGTGTGGAATTCCAAAAAACAAGTAAAGTCTACTCCTGATAACTTGAACCTTCTAGGGAAATTGAAAAAGTTTGAGTTATTGGGAGTTCAGGGCAAATAACCGAAAATAATGAAGTAATCAAATGGATAGGGAGGGAATGCAATTAAGCAACAAAGCTTGATTAATATACAAAGATGGACACTGAATTTGAACTGGAGTGACAAAAAAATAAAGACAAAGAATTGACACGGTTGTTTTGAAATTAAGTTATTGTTTTGGACACTGTTTTAATATGTTTTCGAATTGTCAGGTGCTGAAAATGTTATTTGAGTTATTGAGGGTCAAGTTATATAGAAATGATCTGAAGGGAAAAAAAAACTTCTTATTAGCGGCAGGTACAAGTTATCGAGGGTGCGAGTTACAGAGGGTAAAATAACATTTAATGTATTAGGAAACTTTGGTTTGAGTAAGCGTGAGGTTTGAGTTAGCAATGGTTTGAGTTATCGGGAGTCAACTGTAGTAGCATAAGAATTCAAAGTACTGGCAAAGAGGTTTCAGTTCAATGGGCACCCTGCAGCATTTCATCCGCAGACTAAAGTACCCCCCCTCCCCCCCCATCCCCCGGGCTCTTAAGTTAGAACTACCTTACAAGATGCCATTACTCATGCTGGGAAAGGGTTTTGTTGGTTACTTACTAGAATACTTTCCATCCATTCCAATGATGTCTTCATTTTTTATAGAGATTTAGGAAAAATTAAAATTAATTTTATTATGATCACTTCCATGACTTTTATTTGTTTAACCCTTTGAACAAATTTAAGTGCGGATGGTACATGTAGTCTGTATTATTTTAATAATTTATTGTGCTGTTACATAGCATCATGTTCTGACACAAAAATACATTGTAATGACAACACATAATTGTTTGTTGTGTTTTGATTCCAGGACTCTAGTGGTAAAGTGACAGAATTGCTTGTGAATTGTGAGTCAACAGAAACTGCCCAGAAACCCAAAGCTTTTATTCACTGGGTGTCCTCCCCACTAACATGTGAAGTCAGGCTTTATGAGCGGCTGTAAGTACTTTGACTAAGTTGCACTCATCAGTAACCTCCCTTGATTTATCTTAACTTTTACTTTGTCAAAAGTATCACATTCTCTGAATAATAAAGGCAGGTTTACTTTTGTCAGGCAAGGATAAAACTCGCTGGCCTTTGCTCTTTCATTACAATTTATTTTAATTCATTAAAAACTACTTCCTCTTGTAATCAAGTACTGCTTACAATCTGGTGCATGTGTGACTACCCTTAGAACCTGTTTGTGCTTTACTTGTTCATGACCATACATAAATATTGTAATCATTACAGTTTCAGACACAAAAATCCTGAAGATCCCTCTGAAGTGCCTGGTGGGTTTATAACAGATTGCAACAAGGTGAGATGAGATATTCAAACTAAAAATAAATTTCTTCGAAAAAAAGAATTTATATGAACCTCAGTGTGATTTGAAAATCATTTGTTTTATTCCTCCTAAATCCACATTTTCATTTTGATTCTCTTCTTGTTAGGATTCTCTGACAGTAATCCCTAATGCATTAGTGGAGAAGTCAGTCAAAGATGCTAATGTCTACGACAAATTTCAGTTTGAAAGAATTGGTTTCTTCAGTGTTGATCCAGATGCTAGTAAAAAGAAGGTTAGTTTCTATTAATTTTGAACAAGGCTGAAAATGTACAGTTTTTGTAGTTAGAAATAGCCACCCTCCCCTTCCTCCCCCCCCCCCCCCCCAAAAAGA